GAGCCGGGTGAGTGGAGCGGTGTCCGTCCGCCGTGCCGCGCCGCCGCTGGCGGGGTCATGAGCGCCCTCCCGGCGCCAGAGCGCGGGTGCGGGTGGGGCCTAGGGGGGAGACCTGAGAGCCGAGCCCCGGGGAGCCTCGCGGGCACGGGGCTGGCGGGCGCTGGTGCTTTCGGGACCGGGGACGCGCGCTGACGCGCTCCGTGACTCCGGGGACCCGGGCAGGGAGGACACGCCGGGTCTGTTGCTGCCCGGATGGAGGGGTAGGGTCACGAGTGACCTGGGCACCAAGAGTGGCCCCCGTGAGCCGCCGGTGGCCTGGAGACTGGGACGAGCGCTCGGAAAGTTTGGAGGCTCGGTAGGGAGGGTGACGCTCGCCCCGGCCGGGGAGCGCGGCCTCCACGTGGGCTGTGCTTCTGGCGTCAGGTCGGGCCTAGGAGACAGGCTTCACGGTTGGGGAACCTGCAGCCCGGGCTGTGGGCAGGGCAGCTGCGGCCCACTTGTCCCGCCCTGACTTTAAAATTCCAGCTGCCGCTTGCCGGGCACTGAGCAAGTGTGACTAGCCTAGCAGCCTGACAGTGGGTCGTCCAACAGGTTAGGAAGGCCAGGTGTTTTCAGGAAGCAGGGGCCTGGGAGTCCCAGGAAGTGATTAGTCCACTAATTAGCTGTAAATTCGGCGCCAGGCCATTGATTTCACTGGACTCGCGTTTGAGTGGAGGAGCCTGATTTTCCCAGCCTCTGCCACAGTCTCGTGGGTGGATGGTTTTGCCTCTCTGGCCTCATCCTTTGTAACGTCGTGGGTCACCAAAATACATGAATGTGGTATAATCCATTTTCTCTTTAAAATACAACTAAGAAGATAACTGCCAATCACAGCTTTAGGTCACCAGGAGAACCACTTTTCCCTCTGGATAAACATTTCTGTTGGGCAAAAAAAAAAATGTTTTAGGTCAGCCTAGGCGACCTCCTTACAGGTAATATTTCTATCCTGGATGTGCATTTAATTGAGCAGAATTTGACTATCATTCTCTATGTGAATGGATCTAAAATTCCTGTGGAGAATTTACTAGGTTAATGTGGTTTTCTAGGCCCCAGCTACCAATAGGCTTGATATGGGGCCTAGATGTGCATGTGAACAAGTGTTCTTGGTGACTCCCCTTTAGAACTCTGCTCTGAAGATTATAAAGACACACCTCCCGCCCCTGGGTGGCAGTAACCACTGAGGGCTGATGTGCCATTCAACTGACGGTGCAGTTGACTACCCAAGCTACAACGACCATCAGAATAATCCCCACTGAATAAACTTTGTTTTCCCCCAACGCTGTTTTGTGTAAGGGTTTGAGGATTTTTCTCTAAAATTATATACAAAACATGAAAAAGGAAAATTCAGCGAACGTTTCTTGGGGACCCATGTGTCATGTTCTGTGCGAGGCTCTGGGAATGTGCAGATAGCTGTTGCTGTGTTGACTTCTTGTCAGTAAATATTACCAAGGAAAGAAGGTTAGGACACTTAAAAACATAAAGGCTCTGTCTGTATGTATTGGCTGTGGAATGGTTATCAGTATTGATTTTATTGTCGAGTTCATTCTTTAAAGTTGTTTAGATTAGTTTTTCTATGGATGGCTAGTACAATATGAACTGAGTTGATTTAATCTTTTTATACTTTAATGTTTATAATCAACTCAGATTGGAAACATTTGTTTTTATTTTAAAAATTGAAATATAATTGATAAATAACAGTTTTAGGTATACAACATTTGCTATTTGTGTACATTAAGTGATACGAATTGCTTTCTTTTTAAAGATTTTTATTTATTTGAGAGAGAGAGTGAGCAGAGAGGAGAGAGCACAAGTCAGGGGAGGAGCAGAGGGAGAAGGAGGAGCAGACTCCCCATGGAGCAGGGAGCCCGATATGGGACTGGATCCCAGGACCCCGGGATCAGGACCTGAGCTGAAGGCTGCTGCTTAACGGACTGAGCCACCCAGGCGCCCCCCAACTGCTTTTTTAAACTTTTTTTTTTTTTTCTGTAGCTTTATAAAAATATTTACTCAACTTCTGTTTGAGTGGTCTGTGAGGTTTATGGTCAGGCTTATATTGGCTTTGCTTCTCTAGATAAAGGTTTTTTTCTTGTTTAATTACTATATTTTTGAGATTCTAAGATAGGCTTTTTTACTTTTTCTGAAATTGTGATGCATCTTAAGATTTTTACATGTTTAATGTGGTAGGGTATGTCATCTCTTCTCCCCTCCACCCCCAAAAGCTGTTAAAAAGAATGGTTGTCTTATAATACGGTAGTGTGAAAATCAGAGAAATAGTATATTTACCCAGGAACCTCTAAGCCAGTTTCCAATTAACTGAGCCTCAAATAATTT